GATTTTCCAGTTGAGTGACCAGGTTTAAGTTTTTGGAGCAGGTCCATTCCCAAGTAACTATAAGCCCTACCTGAACCAAAGTTGCATGGATGATGCATCTAGGGATGGACACTACCACACTTGCTTCGGATGCTGGATCTGACCTAGATTTTCCAGATGAGTGACCAGGTTATAGTTTTTAGAGCAGGTCCATTCCCAAGGAACTATAAGCCCTTACCTGAACCAAACTTGCATGGATGATGCATCTAGGGATGGACACTACCACACTTGCTTCGGATGCTGGATCTGACCTAGATTTTCCAGTTGAGTGACCAGGTTAAAGTTTCTGGAGCAAATCCATTCCCAAGTAACTATAAGCCCTATCTGGACCAAACTTACATGGATGATGCATCTAGGGATGGACACTACCACACTTGCTTCGGATGCTGGACCTGACCTAGAATTTCCAGATGAGGGACCAGGTTAAAGTTTTTGGAGCAAGTCCATTCCCAAGTAACTATAAGCCCTACTTGAACCAAACTTGCATGGATGATGCATCTAGGGATGGACACTACCACACTTGCTTCGGATGCTGGATCTGACCTATATTTGGAGCAGGTCTATTCCCAAGTAACTATAAGCCCTTACCTGGACCAAACTTGCATGGATGATGCATCTAGGGATGGACACTACCACACTTGCTTCGGATGCTGAATCTGACCTAGATTTTCCAGATGAGTGAATTTTAGCCATATTTTAATCAAATTAGCATGGATGATGTATCTTAGGATGGACACTTTCAGACTTGTTTTGGATTCTGAATCTGACCTACATTTTCCAGATGGGTGACCAGAGTAATGTTTTTGGAGTAGCTATATAATATTATGGCATGTTATGATTAAACAGCTTGGATGGTACATCTAAGGATGAAAACTTCCAGACTTGCTTTGGATGTTGGAACTGTCCAAAATTTTCTTGATTAGTAAACAGGTTAGAAGTTTTTTGAGCAGGTCTATTTCCAAGTATCTATAAGTCCTTCTTAAACCAAATTTGTATGGATATTGATCTTGGGATGAACACTAACTAGAAAAAATATGATGTGAGATTTGCCTTACTTATAGATAGCCTTCGTCGAGGTGAGCTTCGTAATCTTTGATTACCTATGTTTATAGGTATGGAATGTACATGTATATCGGAACTGAAAAATTGTATCACAATACAATATTTTTTGTTAACGAATTGCAATTTACCAGAATATCGATATGATTGTGCAGCCCTATGCAATACACATTGTTTAAACTGGGGAAGACTACACATTGAATGGTCTACATATATTAGATACTAAAGTCAAATATTCGTATCAACTGTACATGTTTGATATGTGTTTCTGATCTGATAATTTTTTTATAACGTTCGTGATTTATTGGAGAATAATGTCTGTGGCATTTCTTTGATCTTCGCAATAACTGTATGGGAATCTGCTGTAATGTTCATGTATAAGTTTTATAACTGTGTTTTTAGGACACAGGACAAATCAGTCCACGTAGTGTTGTCACTGACGACAGTGATGAGGAAACATCAGAGCTGGATTTATCCTCAGGAAACAAGGACACTTTTGTCATTGAGGTTTTTAATTCTTACTCAATTTCACCAGTGTGTGCAATGGTTCAAGATTGTAAATCACTTAAAATAAACATAGTATGAAACTTGTGAACCTTTATGATGAGAAAAAAAAATTATTAAAAAATAAATAATGAATGAAATTGTACTGAATATGAACATGTACACTTACATGTATTTATGACAGGTTGATGATGCAAATGATGAGAACATAATATCACTGCTGAAACAGTCTCAGCTTCCAGAGGGATTTACCATGCTGAACACCCACAAAATTCCTGGATCCACCACACTGGCTTCAAATCTCCAGGTCAAAGTCTTAAATATACAGATTTATTATGCAACTTAAGTACAGTTGAACTTCAGTGTCTTAAACACTGATGTCTTGAATACCATGGATATATGGCAAAGTAATTTGGAAGTCCCAATCACTTACTGTAGATTTTACATGAGTACTTAATATCGCCAAATGGCTCTTTGCTGCCAAATCTTGAAAACAATAATTTATTAGTGGCTGCATGTTTGATCAAGAGATTTTACATTGATTTCAGCACCATAAAAATAAAAGCAAATAATTTTATTTATGAGTGGTGCTTCTCGCGAAATTATGTGATAATTAATTCCCTGCGTATATTTAGGAATCTACATTATTCGTGAAGTATTTTACCCTTGATATCACAAATACTCTGATATCTCAAAGTTTTTCATCTGTCCCATTAAGTTCAAGATAATGAGGTTCAACTGTATACATATAAATTAAGTTAAACCTTGCCTCTGGGTTATAAAAGTTGAGTTTCTAATCATATCTTGGTTTAAATACCTATATGATGGATACTGATCATGTGCATTGTATGCATACCTGTCACTATTTGATAAAATTTATAACTGTCAAAAATACGTGTATTTATTTGAATTACAGATTCTGTAGATCACTAAATTTTCGCAACACTTTATTTTCGCGAGATAGTCATTGACTCTTTATTAGCGAGATAAAATTTTCACGAATTGTGGTTATTGTTCTATATAATCTTAAGGAATACTATTATACGTGAGAATGAAATTTTTGCGAGCACACTGTATTGTGTATTTACGCAAAAATAAAGTTCTTGCAAATAAAAAGTGATTTACAGTGGCACTTTATATTTAATGTATTCTTTGGCATTGACCTGATATGTTATTTCCTTATTTCAGATGTTTACTCAGATTTGGAGACAAGAGTTTGTGTCTACTTCCAAAAGCAGTTTTATAGATATCTTTGAAAATCTAGTCAAGGTCAGTAAAATTTATAGATACTTTAGTTTCTGATTAATTGTTACCCACATTTTGTTCTACCTCTTTTTTAACAAAGGTTAATTACCTGGTAATATTTTTGCCTTGGCTTAGTAATGATTACATACAGCTTCTATTTTGGACAATTGTATATCAGTTTATTCTTAAAGTATCAGTAAGTATAGATATAAATTCATGTACATTGTATAAAGTTGATGTTTAATTTCTATATGGATGTTTGTTCTGTGGATTTCAGAAAATATGTTACAAGTTACGCAGGATGTCACCCTGTTGTCTGTGTGGTATAGACTTTAGTGTGGATCTCCCAGAGGACAGAGAAATACAGGTAAGTACAGGTAGGATAGCTTATAGATGTCCCTCTCCCCCAGCTGTCTGTGTGGTATAGACTTTGTCGGGATCTCCCAGAGGACAGAGAAATGCAGGTAAGTACAGATAGGACAGGTGTACAGATGTGTCCCTGCTGTCTTGGTGTACAGATGTCTCCCTGCTGTCTGTATGGTATACAGATGTCTCCCTGCTGTCTGTATGGTATACAGATGTCTCCCTGCTGTCTGTGTGGTATAGACTTTGATAGAGTAAATTCACAGGTCCCTAGGACCAAGTTTTACTATAATATTATCTGAAGTTACTACAAACCAGTTTGTTGTCTGTATAGGGCAAAAAAATACATTTTGTTTCATGTGACATGCCTTATAAAATGGGGTTGGTAAATGAGCTTTTCAATTTACAAAGGATGTTAAGCAGTTAGAATATTTATAAATCTTATAATCTATTACATCATAAATTCAACCTTTACTGTGTACTAAATACATGTAACAGATCATTTCTGATGTCAGGGTCTGACTTTGGCTGTCTGTTCTGATGCCGTGTGGTCTGAATGATCTCTTTTCAGAAGAGGGATGAAAAATTATTACACAGTGTATATTAAGCCACCCTTTCTTAACATTTTCAACAAATAAAAAGGACTGGGAAATGACCAATGTTGCTCAGTGATTAAAAAACCTTAGTGACCAAATACATGTACTTAAGCAGGGCTCTCGATTGTCTGTTATTGGGGCCGTTCAAGGGCCACATTCCCCATTCATAAAAGGTACCTTTTTCCCAATTGAATGTGTTAATTTTCCTAATACTTATAGTCCTTTCTACCAAAAATAAAAGAAAATATAGTCGGACATCTAATACCTAAACTGGCTATTCATATTCCTCTATATTGCTAAACAAAAATTTAGTTGATAACAAAGACCAGAAGCCCAATGTATCATGATTTTAGAGTATAATGGTCATCCCAAAATTTCCCAAAAGGTTGCTATTTTCCATATTTTGACAGCCCCAGCCGCATTCCGAAAAAGTTGTGTGAGAGCCCTGACCCAGTACATGAAAGTTCGGAAGCTGCAAATAAAAGCTGTTTCATCGTTGATTGTATATGTAGTATATTATTTACATGAAAATGTGTAGGGTTAGCAGGTCATAAAAACATGTCATGCAGCTTGCTTTTACGGTATCAGTGATTTTTCCACAACAAATTTAGGTCCGAATATCGGCCCTTTCCCCTTTCAAAAATTACCAAGTTTTTCCCAATTTAAGTTGCTTTTTCCCCAAAATAAAACCATGATGAAAAATATAAAGACAATCATTGACAACTTTCAAAGATTATAAATAATAAGAAAGTTGTAAAATTTAATGTAGAACTGCGTCTAATTTGTTATTTTATAAGCAATAATTCCCAAGTTGGCACAAATGTCAATGATTTTTCCCAATGGTAAAGGCCCAGGCCCCTTTTAAAAAAATGTAGAAAAATCACTAGGTATGAATGATCGAATTTTAAAAATTGAAAAATCAAATGACAACTGTTTAATTTTATTTTTCCAGATAACACTAACTGGTGTGTGCTGTTCTTTAGAAAACGTTTCAGATTCTGCATTTGAACTTCAAACATACAGCAAAGAAAATCTACTCAAAGCAGGTATATGTTTAAATACAACTCAACTTTTATTTTGCAACTGGAAGGAAATATTTAAGTAACAAATCAAACCTCTGTCTACATGGATTACATAATCAAGTGAAAAAATATACTGAATGAATCAGACATCAAGGTATTGTTCTTTCCTCTGTCTACTAAGTTCATATCTCCATCATATGCACTTCCCTAATTGTTTACATGTATTTGATTTTCTTCACTTTACCACTGTTAAGCTCAGCCACAAAGAGGTTGTCTCTGGTGTCTACACATAAACCCCAAGGAATGTGTAGATCACAGTTATCAATGTAAAGGAGTAATTGTCCATCCTGATCTAGGATGTGGATACGTTTGTGATAGCTGTCTGATGTCAGGATCTGACTTTGGCTGTTTGTTGTGATGCCAACTGGATTAAATGATACCTTGTTAGTAGAGGGATGACCAGTGTATCTAAATTGGAGTTTTCCTTCCTGATTAACAACCACTACTGCTTTGGCTCCCCAATCAGCCACACAGATATCCAGGTTCCTGTTCTCACTCATGTATTTAATGTCACCAGATGAATACAGAGGTTTACCTTTGCTATCAAACTGAATGGTTTGTTTCTGAATGGAACCAGAGTATCGGACAGCTTTTGATTGTTTATAGTCATCACTGTACATAGTAACCAGGAGGTCACCAGAGGAGGTACTACAGACATAGTAAGGTATCCACTCCTGTAGTTGGATCACTTCCTGTATCTGGTCATTCTGCACTATGTTTACAGTTCTTGCATCAGTGTCAGTATAAACTAGATCTCCACTCCTTGTCACTGCTATGTCACATGGATAGTTCCATGACTTGGTTCGGATTGACTTCAGTAGCTTGCCCTGGAAGCTATACAATTTCATGATGTTGTCATTCCCACATGTCCAGATTTCTTCATCACAGAAACAGGTAACACTCTTAAGAGATTTACACCCAGTGTCTATTGTGGTGAGGAGCTCGGGTTCATCAAGCAGTGACTTTTCTGGAGGACAGGGTACAGCTTCTGATGCCTTTGTTGTGTATCCATGTAATTCTGTTTCAATGGATAATGCAGACAGAGAACCAAACATTTGACGGAGCTGTTCTGTGTTGATATGAAGAGGAAAGAAACTTGGTAATGAAACAGTGACTCTAGGAGGTAATCTTTTGAATTCATCATTCCTGGATTTGTACACAGAGGCTAGGGAGACATCATTGGAGTCCAATATTTTTCTCAAATCAAAAATGCACTGTTTTACTTCAGAAATGATATGTTTGATTTCATTTTCCTGTTTATTTAGTAAAGCAAGGTGTTTAGTTTTCATCTCATCTATTTCAGATTTTTGTTTGTTGACAATGATGTCAATTTCTCTATGCCAATCTTCTCCTTGTTTGGTGACAGCTGTTGTCAGTGTCTTGTATTGTTTTTCTAGGCTTGTTTTTTCTCTCTGTATCTCTGATGAAATTTCTTCATATTTAGGGCACACTGAATAAGATAATTCGTCAACATCTTTTTCTATAGCCTCTTGTTTGGTTTTTATTATCTCAAGTAAATTCAATAAAGTATGTCCTTTGTGGAAGTTGGATGAAAGACAGAGTGAACAAACAGGGAGGTCACATTTCTCACAGTGAAGTTCACAAAATTTTCCAACATGAGTTGGACATTTGGGTGTAGTTCCCTTTTGTTTGAATGGCACTACTTTATGTTCTTTGGATAAATCAGAGAGATGCTCCCCTACACATGCTTTACAGAGTTGGACATGACATAAGTCACAGTACATTGGAGGGACAGAAGTCTCACACAGGTCACAGCGCAGCACATGCTGGGCGCTGAACTGCGGGTCCATTGGAAAAGCTCAGAAAACGCTTTACCTGGAAAGATCAATTAACTTGTTCAGAAGTGAGAAGTGTAGGACTGGGAAAATGTAGCAAAAGGAAAAATATATTATTCTTTAGGGACCAATGTTTATCAATTTTGTGGGTCACTCATACCCATGAATTTACATCCCTAGTAACAATTTTTTCAAAGTATTGATTTATTTAATCTACTGATTATACAAGTTATGAACAAAATTGCATCCCCATGAACAAGAAGAATTGACTCCCCCCCCCCCCCCCCCCAATTAAAATGATTCCACAGTATATAGTTTTCTCATAACTACATATAGTCTCCTACTATGAAAATAGGAGGGACTTTTAAGTTTCCTCTTTGTCTGTATGTCAGTCTGTCCCACTTGGCTTTTTTCCTTAGACACACATACATATTTTAAACTGATTTTAAGTATGTGAGTCTATCTTAATGAGTAACATAGTAAGTTTGTGTTTATTCTGCTTTAATGATTTTAGATGGAATTATGTGTTGTTTTTTATTTTATTTTATTTTAAGGGAAACCAAATAACACTTGTCAGTAGGGGACTAGTATTGTTTATGCAGTTCCACTTCTTTGATTTTTTAAGGAATTTCTGCTGACAGGGGACTAGTACTTTATTCAATACTCTCATTGTTAATGATTTTTTAAAATGATTTTCTTTTATTGATAGTGAAAATATTCAAAGGCTAGGAAGTGTTCTCTTTTTGAATGATGAATAGTTAGCTTTAATACTCAGGTCTATGTATGTATTTTGAAATAGAAAATAAAACAATAATGTACATAATGTGTACATGAAGATTAAATATATATGAACGTTATGGAAAATGAAAGAAACACATAAACAAGATACAAATAAAACAAGTGAAAAATGTCATTACATTTCAAAGAAAATATCTATAGAAAAACTAAAAAAAGAACATAGTCTATGAATCAATCTTCCTGGTTTATTTATAACCAGATTTAAATGTCGGAAGGTGAAGGTCAACATTTTTTAAATCATTGAGAATGTGCAGGCTGTATAGTTAAAGAAATATTTAAATATAAACTTTGAAACCATTGTAAAGAATAATTTAAACACTGTCAAAATAAAACAATTGACAAGGAATATAGTTTTTTTCTCACCTGAGTCAAAGAATTGGAGGGGGGGGGGGTGTATGTAAACTTTTCACATTTTGAACCTCTTATATTATTACTCAGTAACTTAATTTAATCAAACTTGCCACACATTTTTGGCTGAGGAATGGGACTCAAATTTGTTCAAATGAGAAGTCATGCCCTCCATAAAGGGGAAATAAGGAAATAGATTAAATATGGTAGGGTCATTTGAATATTTTCTCAAGACCTATATGGGCAGAAAAAACACAAAACAAAAAGAAGGTAAAATGTGAAAGTTTCCTACATAACTAATTGAATCAAATCATGACCACTGGGCAAGGATGGGTCAACAAAAGGAAGTCAAAGATTAACATAAAAAAATAAACTTCAGAGAAAAGTATCACAATCTTTTCAAGAAAAAAGATAATGATTAGACAAACAAGCTTAACTAATGACATTTTGTCTAGCGTCTATTTGTAAACTTTTCACATTTTCAATTTTTCTCCAGAACCACTTTTCCAATTTCAGCTAAACTTCTCACAAAACATGTTTGGGTAAAGGGGATTCAAGATCGTGTCATTTAAAGAACCACTCCCAATTTCAAGGGGAGATAATAAAGAATTTGTGAAAATTTGATGACATCTTTACAAAACCCTCTTTTCAAAATCCACGGAGCCTAAAATAATGAAACTTAAAGGAAAGCTTCATGACAGTTAAAAGCTATATATGGCGTATCCGAGCAAAAAAAAAAGTAAATAAATAAATAAATAAAAATACGAGATTGAGTGTAAATGATCATGATATTTGTTATTTAGTACGTTTAAATTAAAATTTTCACCGATTTTGGACTTGAATAACCCCACGTTTCTATAGTTAAATTGACTTTAAACTGTGTCTGATATTTAAATGCGGAGTCGGTAAATAAATCGGTAATTGTTTTAAATTTCTAATATCTATGAAACGCGATTGATTTAAATTGTGTAATTTACAGGAAAGTCGTATCTTTATATAAAGTAATAAAACAAATAGAAAGATCTTTTTTAATTTTAATAAGTCTGAACTTATCAACAAGAATACGCAATATATGGAATTGTGGACTTTGAAAAGTTCCCTTTATCATAATCAAGTGATTAATCCCATTACCATGTAAAACCAGTTTTGCATATCGAATTATTTGTATCGTACATGATGCGTTTACAAACATGTTGATCTTAAATAGCCAAAAGTGTTACCTAATGTAAACCTGTGGCGATATAATGCAAGTCCAGTGTATGAGAGGGCATGATGGTTATTAAAACCTAATTCCCCTAAAAATTTTTTAATTGACAAATTGTGTTGAAATAATGTATGCTGCTTGAAAGTCAGATTAAATTATAATTAGGAGCAATAATGAGATGTTTGCAGTTTATACAAGTAGATATTAAGTTTACTAAGACTGTTTGAAGATAAAGTACTAATGATACAAAATTATTGCTGTTTTTGAGGTCATAACGATGATTTAGCCACTTGAGGAGTACAATATTCACCGAGCCCGAAGGGTGAGCTAAATGCAATGAGAAAAGCGAGGTTAAATAAACATTATCAGTTGTATTAATTTGGATTTTTAAAATCTAATTTAGTTGCTATGAAAAAAAGAAATTTTGTCAGGCTCTTTTAAAGAATAGATTTTGAAAAGGGGGGGGGGGGGCATGACTGCTGAAAAAAAATCTTTGATTACCTCCCATGAAAAGAGAGAAAGAGTTTTTTTTAAAACTTCTAATTTTGTTTTAGGGGTGGGGGACTAAGGTCCATTAGTGGGGGACCAGTCTTTCAATAAATATTTTTAGGCCTAAATTAAAAGTAAAATTTTACGTTCAGAAAAAAAAATGTTGGAGGTGGGGAGGAGGGAGGTCCCCTGCACCCAATCCCTACCCCCACAACCACCCCCACCCCAAATTATATATTCCCTTATGTAATGTTCACCTGAGTGGTAGTCGGTAGCAAGTGAAATAGCTTTCCCAAACTATTTGTATCAATTTTGAATTTCCCAATCTATTTTTAGACCGATGTAAAGAAAATAAATCCTTATATTTACCTGGAAGGTAACATGCAGGTGAATATAAGGTAGTATTTTTTCTAAATTGTTGGATCTCAGCAATCAGAGAAATATGAATTATTCAATCATACAATAATAAGCAATACTGCACAGGACTTCTGAACAGTAAATTTTTTTTCCAGTGTCTGCTACAACCACTAGTAGCAGTGGGACCAGTGAGAGAGACGACATGATGTTTCAAATGGAGGAATTCTCAACAGAGGGATCAATAGGGAACTTACAGGGACACACAAGGGGTAAGCTAATGATGGAAATATACAGGGTACACAATAGGTAAACTAATGATGGTAAACTAAACTTACAAGGGGACACTTAGGGTAAGCTAATGATGGGAAAGAACTATATACGGTAAGGGCGTATTCCTGCCCCCATAATAGTCAAATTTTGAAAATCTCTTGAAATGAGAAAAAGTGCATATATCGTATAAAATAATCCAAATTAAGGCAATGTATTATGAAATTGGAAAAAATAGTTGGCTTTTCTTGTCTCTGTGACATCACAAACTATTTGGATTTCCGTTATTTTTAAAATAGAGGCCAAAATACACAGAGTTTGTTCAATTTTGACTATAGTATTTATAGAGCGCAAGCTTGCTCAGGTACCATATTCACATATTTCATTGATATTATCATTCTACACATTATATCAAAAGATCTAGTCTGAGCAGACCTGCGCTCGATAATTTCCAATCAAAATATCGACGTAAAATACGCTATTTTCTCTCAAAATCATTGCAATTTGGAATTTAAGTCATTTTATTGACGTCATATCTAACTAATGATGTCATAGTTGATAAAAATATTTAATGCTTTGAAGTCTGCAAATATCCACCTGGCTTAGAACATAATTAAAGATTTCTCCATCAAAGTTTTATTTTGGGGGCAGATACTGGCCACTACAGAATATAGTCCTTTACAGGAGCACACAAAAGGTAAGCTAATGATGGAGAACAAAAATGGGCACTCAAAGGGTAAGCTAATGATGGAATAAACGGGAAAACAAAGGGTAAGCTAATGAAGGGGAACTTACAGGGGCACACAAAGGGTAAGCTAATGATGGGGAACTTACAGGGGTCAATTGTAAACTAATGATGGGGAATTGTAGGGGCACACAAAGGGTAAGCTAATGATAGTAAACTTACAGGGGCACATGAAGGGTAAGTTAATGATGGTGAACTAAAAGGGAAACACAAAGGGTAAGCTAATGATGGAAACATATGGGGCAAACAAAGGGTAAGTTATTGATGGTGAACTCACAGGGGCACACAAAGGGTTAGCTAATGATGTTGAACTTACAGGGACACACAAAGGGTAAGCTAATGATTGCAAACTTACAAGGGCACACGAACGATAAGTTATTGATAGGGAACTTACAGGGCACACAAAGGGTAAGCTTATGATAGGGAACTTACAGTGGCACACAAAGTGCAAGCTAATGATGGGGAACTTACAGGGGCACACAAAGGGTAAGCTAATGATAGGAACTTGTAGAGGCACACAAAGGCTAAGCAAATGATGGGGCACTTACAGGGGCACACAATGATGGGGAATATACAGGGGCACACAAAGGGTAAGATAATGATGAAAATATACAAAGACACAAAAAGGGTAAGCTAATGATTGAAATATACAGGGGCCTACGAAAAGGGTGACATTAGTTCTAAGGGAACTTCCAGGGGAACACAAAGAATGAGCTGATGATGTTTTATATTGTAGTACCCCTCACTAGACAGACCAAGGAAAACTCTGTTCGTAGATCTCTAGAACATGTAAGTAAATGATTTGTGTTACAAGAACTCAGTA